AACAGCGCATTTATGAGTTCAGCTTGGATGCAAGAATCCTCAAAAATACGTTCTGAAGAAAACTGAAACCTATTTTTGGTGAAAGCTGCAAGTCGCACTTGGATATTCAGATTTAATTAAAACGGTTGCAAAAATCTTGCAAACTATGCAGCTTCGCAAAAGCTGAACAAAACATGCCAATAAATCTCTAGCTATTGACCTCGGTATTGACATATTTGAAGAAAACGCCTTTTGAGTGAAACTACCGGAACCAATAAATGCTAAACACTTCTAATATTGGCCTAGTGGTATGCCAAGAGATACGTCTTAAGATAGGCCTTGTTCTTTGAATACTATAAGTTACATTTCTAATTCGTTCTAGTTATTTGAAACTGGAACTTTATGAACGATAAATTAACTTGGATCTTGGCATCTTCAGCCGAACACTGAAGACCAAACGGAACATTGGCTCTTTGTTCAATAAGCAGAACGAATTCACTTCACCGCTTCTATATAAAGCTTTTAAGAATCCTTACATGATACCTTAAATATAAGCGAATAATTCACAGGGCAACCTTTTCGGTGACTTATGATAATGCATGGAAAATGTCTTCAATGGCCAGTAAAGTAATGTAAAACCACGCAGAAAAATGTTCGTTGCTGGTGTACTAATTTGAATAAGCCAGAAGTAGTTATTAAAAATAAAGGCAAAGTACGTCCCTTGTAATTTTAAATAAGTCTGACTAGTAGATGGCTTTGGTTACCTTTATGTATAAAGGAAAGCGCATTTATTGGGCTCTTTGACAAAATATTTAGTTTGTGAGTGTCCAAATATAAATATGGGAGAAAGTCAATATATATATTTATCAGGCGCTTGCTATATACATTAACGGTTCACATCCAGAGTACTTAGGTTCATTGAAACTTAATTACTTCAATTTAAACAGTAAACATTTTCATTTAGTTCAATGTTTACATGGAAATTCTTACACAATTTGGTTCAAATGTAAATGAAAAAGATCAATCGAGATTGTGCTCACGAAATACTCAGACTAAATATATTCCATTGACAAAAATTCACAAAAACTACAAAGTAAAAGCTGTAATCTCTAAATTCTGGAAAGATTTCGATATGCCTTAGGGGATTTTCGAAAGCAATTGCTTCGATTTTGGAGCCGATTTCCTCAATTGCAGCGATTTCCTATTCGATTCCGCGACTACAAACATATTTCCGACGATTTCAGATGCAGTTTTCCTCGATTTTTCCCATACTTGTGAAATATTCTGAGAAAACCTCGCTTAACCATGCCTTTAATTCTCCTAGTTTGGGCCTAACAAATAGTTTTACAAATTAGCATCCGAAAATCTGGTTAAACATCCGGTCTGGCACTGGTTAAACTCGACCAGAAAAATTAACATAATTCATGTTTGTTGCCACAAGTTAACTCAGTAGTACGGGAAATTCTACAATTTCACTAACTATCCTATGTGCGTCCGCACTAAGAAAAACTGCAAAATTTTTCTTAAGGGAGAGATTTATTTGTTATGAGTAATTGAAAGTTGTTTTATTATTAATTAAGTTTAAATATCAAGTAACGTGTAGAGCAGGGTTCAATTGTGTTAGCACAAAAACACTCTCAATATCTTAGCACTTAAAAAATTTCCCAGGCACCCCCATTTGTAATCATAACCTTTATAAAACGTTTTCAAAAGCATACTGAAACTCGACAATTTGATGATTTGGTGCAGTGGATCTTCTGTGATAAACATAAAGACAATTAAATACAGTAACGAAGTTTTACACTTACAACATACACCACATTAAACCTGTAAAGTATAATATGTACAAAGAAAAAAGAAACATAGTGATTAGTACACTCATAAAAAAGCATATGCAGCACTTGAGGAAGAAAAAAACAGATAATTATAAGAATTATAGTAAGAAAATGTGGCAGACCATAAAGGAACTAATTAATAAGAAGAAGACAAATGATGTATCCTATACCACGCTTGAATTTAATTGCATCAATGAAAGAGCCGTAATAGGTTTTTGTCGGTCGTATCCAAGATACAGTGTCTACAATTGAATCTCCTAGTGAAGAGTTTGAAGAACGGAAATGCACTCATTAATCAAAAATGAAAAAATTCACAAATTTATCTCTAAATAAATTACAAGAGATCATTTAGTGTCTAAAGAAAACCTATCTACTCTATAGCGGCATATAAAAACCAATTAGGTTGCAATAGAAAATGATCTAGTTAGTTGCTTTAAAGTTCGTGTCTCTTATCGGGTGGCATTTAAAAAACAGTTTAGTTCTGTTGGTTTGGTTTTACTTTTTCGATCTGATTATGGCTCCACGTCATGTATTCTCTCAAAACCATTCTTGACTCTTACAAAAACAGATAAAATCCGGCTGGTCCCAGTAGAGAACCCGGTCATCTCTCAAAACTTCAACAAGTTAAGTGAAAAAAATGAAAAGTACAAGTCAATATATGCTACTTAGGTGCACGAAAGAAATAGATTACTGCAATACGATTGCTACGTATGCATAGATCATAAGAGAGCGTTTGAAACAATAGACAGGGACACACTAATAATCAAAAAATGTTAGTTGTATGGATGAGATTAACATTCAATTAACAACCATTGTGCTAAAGTGGCTGAAAAACATTTTGCAGAATATTTATCGGCAAACGAAATTAGGTGGGAATTTATTTCATGAAGTTAAAGGGGCGGCAGAAGGGACTTTCGCAGGCCAATTAGTCTTTTTATTGTATGAGAATTTTGGAAAAAAATGCTTCATCGCTCGAACCTGTATTGTTTCATAGTGTTGAAGGTTTATTCAAAATGTTTAAATAATTCTTGAAACATCAGTATTTCAATTAAATTTGGAAGCTGTATGTTCTTGGACGTGCAAAATTCGAACTTGATGTTGAAACAGCACGCATTTTCATACGTACTTCACTATACTTGTAAGCCACAAAATACAAACATTGTTTTATGTTTTACGAGAAATGGTAGTAAGCGTAGTGGGAAGAGGATAGGAGCAACCCTTCCTGAGGTATTAAGAGTTCAAGTTATCGATTAGTGTAAAAAATTCGTTGAATCTTGGTACTGACTCTCATAAGCAAGCTCATTTACAAGCCCCCATATGGAAACTTAAAGAGGCTTTAATTAGGACACATTCTATGCCTCACTAAATAGCTAATACTTAGTTAGGGGCGATCATTTACCAGAAATGATAATGATGACACATTCAGAATATCTGGTAGAATGATTGAACCATTAATTTAATTTGCTTTTCTTAGTCTTTCAGTAATTCTTAATAAAAGCAACATACAACTGTAATGCAATAAAGTTGAGAACAAACAAAATCTAAAAACTGTTAAAAACTATATACTCAATTGGAAACTTAAAACAGTATCCGAAAGCAGCAGAAATATCCAACAGAACGACTGGAAATAAAATTTTCCATTTTCATCCTGCATCCCTCCAATACCAATTGATTTTTAAATAACATTACAACAGAAAATATAGGTATTATATAATAGAAAAATTAGGTATAAAAAGTATTATTATGCCCGGTGTAATTTAAAAGTAGGTAGGAAATTAACCATAGAGTTTAGTAACCAAATAAACTTTTTTCCGCCCCCCAAAGTGTTGCCCTGCGAATTTTCCTTTCTAAATTACGGGGTGTTAATTTAAAAAAAAACCATTATAGTTTTAGTATAACAACTTTCGAACGGTAAAAGTTAATAAAACACAAATTTACCTGTAAAAAGTTAATGAAAATTTTTAATTTCTCAGTCAAGAATATGGCCTTCTCGTTCTCCCGATTTTCACTCTTTTGATTTATGAGGGTACTTGAAATACTAGTTAATTCCAAGACCTTTTCGGAGGTGCGAACTCTTCGTAAAATAATTAAAATGGGGTGTCACCCAAGTCGGCAGATGGCTGGTATTTTTGATCGAGTAAAATAATCTATAAAGGAACGCATTGCAAAATGTATTGAGTATTATAAATGTATTGAGGAACAACATTTTGAGCACCTTTTGCAATTTTGTCTTTGTTTTTCTTTAATTTATTGAGCGCAAGCGAAATTCAGTAATCTATAAAATAATTTTTTTATGGTTATTTATTTGTGCATTATCAAGTTGAGATCTGGCTCCAATTCTTTTCCAACGATTAAATCGAGGTTCGAATGTATAAAATTACACTGAACCGATGTTTTTTAACATATTTAACATCTTGTAACTTTGAAACAAAATTCATGCAGCAAAACTTGAAAAAAAAGTTTTTTTTTGTTAAGAACCTCACTATTTCATTTATTTTCAACCCGCAAAAAATTTAAACAGAAAAACTTATTTTCCCTTCATTATACTTCTATGTGAGAGACATTCTGGAACGATGACCCAGGCTTTATGCAACACCCTGTATAAATAACGTAAATAATTAAAGCATTGTTTTCACAGCCGACAGTGAGCATGTAACAGTGAACTTTATGAAGAACGAATCGAGAATGACTCATAAATTTAAAAAAACTTCAGAAAGGAAGTTGACATAATGACAAACCATTAAGAAAAACATCTAATGCAAAAATCAAAGCTTCAACAGAATTAAGCTTGAAAAAAATCCCATGGCTTATTAGGGAATAACTAACTAAAAGCATGATGCATTATCAATCAATACTCAACAGCCAACAAAGCAAAGAGTAGGAACTGCTGCTTATTATCCTTAAACTAATCGAAACATTCCACGACGTTCGAAAAAAATGAAAATAATCATCGTCTGTTTACAAGAACACAAAACTTGTTTAAAACGTACCTACAAGAACACAAAAGAAGTCCGATCTTCGCCGGCCACATTCGCCTCTCTTGACCACTGAGTTCTTTTAAAACTCGCTTCAGACCGCTGCTACAGTCTTGCGTTAATATCGGGTTAGTAAATCTCTCTAAGCACTAAATTTGGTTAGAGGGTTAGTAGAATTGGGGGAGTCGGGTGCAATCTACTCAGAACTCACCCGATGAGACAAGCGTTTAAAATATCCTAAAACCATTTTGCGAATCGTTACAGTCACCCTCCACTAAATGAGAACCAAGATAATATCACAGAAACATCACTAATAAACATTGCACAATGAACTTCATAAGGATATCCTGTTTAGCACTGGAGTTGTGTCTAGAAAAACCATTCACTCACAAACAAAAATCTATTCGTGCTTGTTTTTTTTGTAATATCACAGATAGTTTGGACTGAAACTACTAAATCAAACGCGAGTCTTCCCGATTCTCTTAACAAAATCGTGTGAAATCTTCGTCTACAAGAACTAACTACATTTTGTAGAGCGTAGAGGTGCTGCGAATTGAACGACTTCTACCCGTTCTTAGAGCACCGGTCGTAACGTGAGCAACGATTTTTTGTTTCCCGAACACTCATATTCACGGTTTCAAGTCGGGTCGCGTCTGCTACGGAAAACGTGTCTCGTCTCGTCTGCTCCACTCAACTCTACTCGCCGGTTCGAACGCGACTGACGACTTTTCAACTTTCAACGCTCGATCAGATAAATTCCCGAGCCAGGTATGGGTTTCGAACGGCTCTTGCTCTTCGCCTCTCGCTTTGCCACTTTTACATGCCTAAATAATTTGTAAACATTCGTCTCTCTAACCAGAGTGCTTTTCGGCCATTTTTTTCCGTTCGTTTCCACCACTTTGAGATACACAAGATCCAGATTGTTCGTTTTTAAAAATTCCAATTACTCGCACGTTAAGACGTTAGTGGATTCGTATTGTCATCAAACTGTTAAGTAGCAACTTTTGTCATTTCATAAACTATCGACGTCTAGAATCACAAATTTTTATGGTTATATTTTGAAAAAAAAATGAGACTGGAACGGTTTTCTGCATGGATGCCCATATGAGAGACATTCAATATATTTTCTAATAAATCTAGAAATTAAATCTAACTGCAAATATAAAAAGGAAAAGCAAAATAAATACTCTTGAGAATTCCACCCTTGGGAAAGCAATAAAAATTCGCGAATAAACTAGATATAAATATCAAGGAACAAAAGATACCTGTTCGTTCTGAAACATCATTTTTACGAAATGAAAAGAAGTGTTAAATTCCTTCCAAATTATCGTTTTATACAGGCTGCTTAAAAAACATATGCAAGTCTCTCTTGGAAAAATTCTTCATGTAAAAGTAGTGTTTTTATTCCTGTTTCTAGTAAAGAAAACTCCACGAATATTCATCTCCGAGCAATACTGTTAATTTAAATATATATACCTATATTATTACGATGTTATATCTTCGAACGCTATAAGATAATGAATCCCTATTTTCACTTTTCTCCAAATATTTTTATATTTTTTCTCCTTTTAATTTGGCATGTTTAATATACAAAAAATTAATATAATTTTTGTCACTATGTGTTTCATATTGCGGATTAATATTTAAAATTCTATTTGGCTACATTTTAAAATGCTTTCAAGTATTTTCTTGCGTCCTTTGTTCTGAGAGTTTAACTTTCGTTAACGCTTTGGAGCAATGAAACGAAGCAGAATGCGACAAACACTGATAAAAAAACAATTAACTTTAACATAAATGAATATATTCACAAGTGATGGACTATGGAAGCATTTGATATGTTTTTCAAATATAACAACATTGCAAGTGTTTTGTTTAAGGAATCGTTTTTTTCAGTGTTTGGCTCTCCTTTATGGACGCCCCTGGCTTTAAATTAACAGCGGGTGAAACAATCCAATAAGAATCAGACTAGTGGAAAAGTCTAAATTCACTAAAGTAGCTTAACCCACCAGACTGTATATCATTAACAGTCGATTCATTAATAATGCTGAGCAGTTAGTATTTTTTATTTGTCATCAGCCACAGGTACGGTATAATTGACCGTTTCGAAACCGCATTTTACATTAGAAAATGTTATGCTCTTGTTGAGTGCGGAAAACAAGATCCCGCTCGAAGGATCATAAGATATAAAATGAAGTGGTCGTGAATATCCAGTAGTTCTTCTTCTAAAGGTGATTCATTAAAATCAAAACGTGTTTTCTAGCTTAAAATATTTTCCTGCTCAATGTGGGTTGCACAAATATCAAATGGTGCAAGTAGCGACAAACGTTCACCAAAAACCAAAAAAATGTTATTTTAACAGAACGTTATACATGTTTTGTTTTAGGTGCTTCAGTTGAACATTGGTTTAATATTAATAAATGTTTGTTCATTTGAAAAATGTTATCTCAACAAAGCTGCAGCTGTAAAAATAAACTTGACGTTATCAGTGGATTTTCGACGCGGTTATTGTTTTTTTCTGTTGTAATTAAGTGCATTCGGTGATTCATCTTTTCCTCTAGATGAGTTTTTCTTAATTCACTTCTGGTCAAAAATTGTGAATAATAAAAAGTCTCAATAGTTCGATAATAATATATACGTTTGATTTTAGTTATTTTGTCAAGTAATATTTGAATCACTTTCTTTTTATTTGCTTATCCAAGTTTTGCTTTGATATCTTGCAGCAAAAAGCGCTGAAAATCTAAAAAAGTAGTACTTAATTAATTTACTGTTTAGAGCGGGTAATTAAATTTATATTAATTTTCTTATTACCAACTTTCTAGTTTTTCTTCTGACAGGTTATGTCTAAATCCCGATTCGGCAAAACAAAGAACGTCAATGAATCATCATCAAATCAGAATAGTTATTTTAAATATACATATACAAAAAAAAACTAGTTTAAAATGTTGAGATAACTTGCAAAAGACATGAAACATTATTGCTTCCTCTTAACAATTCGACGTTAAAGATTTAAATGTACTCCAGTATGGTAGTACTAACAACATTGATCCCTTTCGAAGGATCATTCGATTTCAATTTGAATCATCCAAATGTTAGACGATACAGTTTGAATTTATTGAAAAACTAACACAAAACGATGTCTTTCAAACATGTTTTCGTCATGCCGTTCTCGAAAACAATGTATAAGCCAGATCAAATGCGATGGTGTCAATAGATTAATCAAATAACCCTATGCATAATAAACAAACATGGCTTAAAATGAAAATGCAAATACCATCTACTTTCTTAAAAAAAAGTCTTACTAAAGCGCTCTGGTTTCTATGATGTTGTGTATGAGGCAAACATTTAAAATTTATTAGACAGGTCGGACCACATAAAATGATTCCATGTAAACTCACTTTTACATGCCGAAATTGTAAACATTCTTTCAGTATAATGCAAACAGAACTTTCTCAACAACGGTCGTTAAAAAAATAAAACTATCTTTGTTGGCTTTGGGGCGTTCTTAGAACCGCGACACATTCCACTGCTGTCTTAATAAAGCCCTGTTTAATGACGGGTTTAACCACAGATCTTTTATTTGCGGTTTTTAAATAGATACCCTGTTGTTGTGGGGACTGTTTAGCCACTTCTTGTCATCGAAGATTCATCGTGATGAAAGCTCCTCTATCGAGTCATGTAAATCATGCGATTTTTACCTACGCTTCCAAAGTTTACATAGAAAAGTCCCTTTTTACTGAAACCGTGTCGGTCCTAGATAGATCGGTTTCCGTATAATAAATAGATATAGCATATTGATTTAGGACAGGGGCTGTTACATCGAAAAAATGCCACTAACATAAATAAGACATCATTTGCATCTGTTAATATTATCACAGAAATTCCTTATTGGTGGTATTGAAGCCGGTTGAGACACCGGCTTTTTTACTGAGTTTTAGTCAGATTAATTGTTGTTATAAAAATAAATGAAGACGGTATAATGACACAGTTTATGGTTTTTCAGACCAATTTAATTCGCGTGTCAGTGATTGTGTCAGCTGCAGAATGTTCACCTTTATTTGCAGATAAAAGTATCATAATAAAACAATCTTACATTCTCCTACCAATCGTTTTCAGTAAATTAATTTCTAAATAGTTAATTTGTCAACTAATCAATAAGAAATCCATGTATTTATGATTTTTCAATTACTATAATTGGTATGAGAAAATAGTGTTTTAAATTAGTAACTCGGTTTCGTTGAGCCCTAAACCAATCAAATTGAAAAATTAAACTTGATTATTGATAATCTAAATTTGCAAGAACCAAGAATTAATTTCAATTACTTAAGTGACTGGGCAAAATCGTTTCTAGGGACACCAGTTACTTTATTTTCATTACTGGTCTCTTTTGCTCACGTTCGCTCAGCACCTTAACGAATTAATTTAAATTTTCAAAGCGTATTGTTTATAATTTCAATGCTAAAACGGTTTACTTTTTCTGTAGTTTTTCATTTCAGTCCCACTATGTAGCACAATATCTTTGAATGAAACTAAATCATGTAAATGACTAATAGAACTAATTAAGCTTTCAAATGTTATCTGTGTGTAAAGTGGAAAAAATTGCAGGATAATTAGGTTGATGGAAATTCTACTTACTTACTCATAACTAAGGTCTAATATGGTTGAACTCTTGTAATGTTGGCTCTAGTCGAGATAAATGCTGGGAAATTCTGTAATATTTGTTGAACTGTACCGGCATTCCTCAATCACTTAGAATGCCCTTGATATGCAGGAATTCAGACATTCACTAAGACTCAAAACTAGTTTCAATTTAGGAAACAGCAAATATATAATTTATTATTTATTATTCATTTAATCGATCCTCAACTAAATTGGATACTATGAATTTTGAATAAATACGAACTTTGAATATTATGTGCTCCCTGGTACAAATGAAATTCAGCTTCAATGTGTTTTCTATCATTTATTTCGGTTTATATTTTTTATATATATCTATTATCTAGTTTAGTTTTAAATAATATAATACCACAGAAATAACCGAAAAAATACCAACTTCGGAGTACAAACGTTATTTTCAAAATTTAATGATCTTTATGAAAAGTTTAAAAATTAAGTGATAATGATAATGTTTTTGCAGCTTATAAATAATTAATTTTATTTTTTGTATCATTATTTTCACTTACGGCCACATATTATTGCACAAAATATGTCAAGCTAGATAGTCTAATCAAGTGAATATCAATTTGCTTTTAATAATTTGAAACGAATTGACTCATAATAATTTAAGTTTTGCAAGTCTGTGCCTAATGGTTTATTTGTCATATGCTAAAAAGCCGAAATGCCCAATAAAGCAATACCCCTGAGTGTGCAAATTTTGGATAGTATATTGAACTCAAAATCGCAATATTCGTCAGCACCCCAATCATAATATTATATCCCATGCTCAATTAAAATATTCTAATTTATGAACAAAACAGCCACCAGATTGAACTTACACAAACTTCAATTTCAAGCCAATTTGAATGAAATAATAGGAAAATGTTTTATAGCGATTTTATTAAACATTCATCATCGTGCAATGGTTGCGCGTTCTAATTACGAATTATTAATTAAGCAGAACGAAGAAATGAGAATGGAACATAAATCGAATCCGATACTTGGCGCTTGACGGCGTCTAGCTCAAATAAGATGTAGTTCGTAATACATAAAAATTTTACCGCCCACGTAATGTAATAAGTAAA